CGGCGGGCTATGGACCCGCTGATCGCCTATATGTGAAACACCCGGTACCGGGTGTTCGCATTGGACGGGTCTTTTCTGCCCGTGCGTGCCCGCTAGGGGGCGCGCGCGAGCAGAAAAAAAATGCCGTCTGGCGACGGCAACCCGCGAATGCGACAGTGCCGTCCGTCCGTTTTTCTACTACGGGCGGACGGCAACTGGTTAAAATAGGAAACTGAATAAAGCCCTTCAAGAGGGAGGGACCTCTACATTGTACTATGTTAGAATTGGTTTGGAGATTTGTGCTCTTTGCAAAGGCCATTTCCTTACAGTGATAGTGGCTGTATATTTAAACACGGTTTGTTTTGTTCATGGCCTGTTTTATTTCATGAATTTGGCCCTACTAGTTACAGTTCCAGGACCATAACTATTCATTACCTTTAATTCTTTCACGTTTAGTACATCATTCAGTCGGTCTGACATTGTCTGTCAAGGTTATTCACATTAATATTACCATCTTATTTATATTATATATTTTATTTGTTGCTAAGTGTGTATTTGGCTTTCTTTAGGGGGAATGTGATAGAAGCTATGGAGCAGAATTTGTTTTCAGTGATCATGCTAAAGAGCTCATTGTCGGGGAGATTTTTGTACGGGTATACAACGAACAGCCCACATTTCAACTGGAGGTGAGTGTTTTCAGAGCAGAAGTATCTGTCAACTTGAGATGTTCAGTAAAGAATATCTAGTATCAATATGTTTACTGAGGGCACAATATTTAGCTGTACAAAGACAAAGCATTGTAAAATGTAACGTATATTGAAATATTTCAGCTACACAATATTCTGAGTAATGCCAAAAAGCTGCACATTTTTAGCCTGAACACTTAAATCCTTTCCAGTTTGTTAAAAATCGAGTGAATAACAACATATCAGTGGTGTATTTTGGTTTGGGGCTGCCCTAGGCAAGCCGAAACTCAGGCGCCCCCTCCCCCCCACTAAATTTTCCCCCCCCCACTAAATTTGCCCCACCCCTTACTGTTTTAAGACTTTTTGTTTAACCTGTCAGTAACCCGTCTCGGACCCGCCTCCTCCTCACCGTCCCGGACCCGTCCCCTTCTACTGACGTCCCTTGCTGCGGCTGCCTCCTTCTCACCATCCCCCGCTGCCTCCAACTCACGTCCCTTGCTGCCACTTGTTCAGTGTCCCCCGCTGCCTCCGGCTCACCATCGGCTCGCTGCATCCTCCTGGCCGACTCCTCCTGGTCTCCGATTGCCCTGTTACTTCATGAGGCTGCCGGGCTGCGGCATTTTCGCCGCTCCTCTGGGGAGTGCCGCCCAAGGCAAACGCCTTGTTTGCCTCGCGGCAAATATAAAAAGTTAACTGAATCCTTGCGGGGATCCATAGATAAGGAGTAATGGAAGGGCTGACGGCTTACTTTTTCTGGAGAAAGTGCTTCTCCAAGTGGCCGCTAATGCTGGGCACATCATCAAAAACCTACGCATTTGGTCTCATGAAGAGAAGGAGTCAACGATCAGATTGGTTGGTCCTTCCCTACTGCTGATACAATGTGAGACGGTGACTCAGCTTTTGGTCACATGGCTAGTGCTGGAGTTCACCTAAGGCAACATTTTGTCAAGGAAAGGTAAATTTTCTGGTCTGTTTATTTCTTTATTCATTGCAGCAAGTCTGCTGGATTATATCGGATCGCAGGCACAGTACCTTCATACACTGATGGCTATGACCCAGACAGGCAAAGTGGAGTCTGATCAACATGTCGACAGACTGCAGAGGGTTGAAATGGCTCTGGAAGCACTGAGGAATGTCATCAAACACAATCCTGGTAGGGGCACTATTTTCTTTTGATTTACAGAATGGAAGCAGTAACTATGTCCTGAACTATATTGCTGAGATTGCAGTGCAGTCTGAAGTCTTAATTTATAACTGTAGACTTCTGTGTATATACTGCATGTTCTTTTATGACAGTCTGGGTTTTTTTTTCAGTCATAAAGGAATAACCAAACTAAGTCTCATAACAGCTTATTGTGCAATGTGGCAGCTTTACAAAAGGGAAATGGCTTTGTTTTTCTAAAATAAAAATGCAAGTTTGGTCGTTTTGTTGAACATAGTGAACTTGAAATGACCTCAAACGTTCTACGCTGACAATGCGACCACATAGCAGGCACATTTTATTGGCCACATATCTCAAACTAGTCCAAATTCTGCGGACACTATGATACTGACATATTGACCAAGCTTCTGGTCAAGAGCATGGACGGGCCCTCCCACCTCATGTAAAGCGCTACTGGCCAATGATATTGCCCATCATAGTGATGGGTTAGTACCGTAGCAGGGGGCAGGTCCAGGATCTTAAAATGTAGGGTCTACCCACTATTTCAATACCAGTACATTGCCAGAATTTAGGGCTACCCCGGAGCCTCATAACTAAGCAGATGCCTCGTAAGCTGCCTGTATTTGGTAGCAGTGTCATTTTTAAAATGTTTGTCACCTCAGGTTTGATTACCTTTTGTACTATTTTAGGAGATTAGTAATAGAGAATTTAATCATCTGAAAATGGAGGTGGGATAAAATGGGCTTGTTTTACTATTGTATATGTGTTTATAATTGTGCACCGATGTAGCATAAATTAGCCAAATCTATTCTTATAATATCGCAAAAAACGACCACACCAAAAATTGGCCATAGGCGACGCTTTAAAAGCTTTTACTGCTCATCAGTTTAGTGTTAACAGTGATTAATGGCCCTAAAATTATTGCTCGCACTCCGACGTTCACGGTGATATGTAAAGCTCTCAGCCGGCCGAGAAGCTACTCATCCGGCTCCGCCGTCCTCTCATCACAGACCCCGCGTATACCATATAGGAATAAAACTGTATACTCGTATATATCCTTAAAGGAGGCTATAGAAACCTTTTAAAAGCATCAGTGCACTATATCCATGTGGGTATTGTACTGTGCATGTGCAAATCTTTGTGTGCATGCCCAGAAGTTTGAGCAGCAGTCGGCATACGAAATTCCATATATTGGTGCTTGGAATGCAATACTGTCCTCTGACTTTGTGTCAGCATAGCACACAGGGTTGTTTTTTAGTTTGGTGCATGCGCAATTCATTGATTACCAATCTGGTCACATTTAATTTATGAAATGTTAAGTCTTAAAAAAAACATTCTATGTGTGTTCATTCTTTGGTGCCTCATACAGGAACAGAGAGCATCAGAATAATTTAGATGTTAAAACATGCACAGCAAATTATGACTGCACCATATGCATTGAACATCAGTGTACATTTGCCTAGATAGTTTAATGGATCACTCTTGCATATGGGAATGAATATTCATGAATATTGGCTGAGATATGCAGGCATGCTGTCCACTTGTACCCCTTGTGCTTTATTTTTTTTATTTAATCAACCTTAATGTATTTTCCAGGATCAGAAACTGAATGTATCGGCCATTTTAAGTTGATATTTTCTTTACTGCGAGTCCATGGAGCTGGGAAGGTTCAGCAGCTTGCACTGGAGGTAACCGGGTGTCATTTAAAGTTAACCTGTTGTGAAATCCTAATATACCGAATATATTCCTGGATTCAGCTAGACCTAAAAGAAACCTGTAATAAACAGCAGAGAAGTGAGACAGGAGTCTGCACATACAGTATCTGCTACCCGAAGTGCCAAAAAAATTCCATTGGTTCAAATCTTTTTTTTGTTTTCCCCAACTGTTTGTAGAAGTTAAGAGCCCCAGCAGGATATTTTGTGGGGCAGCTGTAGTTGCCTCCTATGCACCTGTGGTATAGGTTTTATTAGGGTAGGTCTATGAAAGGTTCACATAGAAAGATAGCTGAACCTTCGTCAAATATCAGGCTTTAACGCCTATATGAACCCTAGAGCAAGTGGAATATATTGCAGCTTACCTGTCTTTAGATTGGTGGCTGCATTCATTAGTGTTTTTTTTCTTAAAGGAGAACTATGGGGTTAAGGCTTTTCCCCATAGTTCTCAGGGTAACGGGAGGACACAAACTAGCGTCCTCCCGTCACCCTAAGCTCAGTATACCGCGAGCTACGGCTCGCGGTATACTAAGACGCCGCAGCTGAAGCGGATCCCGACAATTATGCCTGGATCCGGCCAGCTGCGTGAGTGACAGCTGGCTCTGCCTATCTAGAGGCAGAGCCAGCTGTACCCGCCCCCTCCCCCGTCCGATCCGCCAGTCAGCGCTGGCGGATCGGCGAGGGGGGAATCCAGCCCCTCCCCTGTCACGGCATGGGCTGTGACAGGATCGAGAGGTGAGCGAATGCCGGTATGTTTTCGCTCACCTCCCAATCTACTGAGCCGACCTGTGACAGTCTCATTGTCACAGGTCGGCTAGAACTATGAGGTGAGTGAAAAGCACTCACCTCATAGTTCTCCTTTTTTAAGACTTTTTTTTTAATTCTCATCTGGTGATCCGGTCTGTAACAAACTTCCCATCCTAGGGTGACACTACTCAGTTTACTGTTTGTGTAGAAGCAGCCTTGTCACCCTAGGGTGATCTCCCCTAATCTCAGGCAATGTTATCTGCCCTGATTAAGTTCTCTCCTGTGAACTAGAGAACACCATTCCCTTTATGGAGATGAGAAGCGGTGGGGACTTCTTACTTCTGTAACATAAGGAAGGAGGTATTCTGTAGTTCACACAGGAGAACTTGTATTTTTAGTGCAGCAGAGGCACACTGCACAGGAAGTTGGGAGAGCAATGGATTTCTGTCAGGAATACTAGGTGTTTTTCTGTACTTATTGGATATTTTCCTTATTTGTCTCTGTACAAATGCTGCCTATATTGAGGGATTTACTGCAGATGTTGTTTGTTTTTGTTTTGCCCTGTCGTACTTGATAACGGTCTTGGGACTGCATAACGATTCTCTGTAAATGCTAGTTGCCTTTCTATTATTCTTACTCACTGACTTTGATACTTACTCAGTCCGGACCTAAAACAAGAATGCATATTCTTCTGAATTAAATTCAGATGTTTTTTTCTGTAGTCTTGTTCCAGGACAGTGGTTGAAAGTACTAAAGCGAAGAGGAGCAGCATGTCAGCCAGCCAACTAGTATTTTCAGAAGGCAGCTTTCATATTTCTTTCATGACAGGTTTCATGTAATCACAGAGCCAGTACTAGCAGTAAAAAAATATGTAAGCATGCCCTAAGGTTTTATTACGCCGGCTGCATATGGTTTTTACGTATATATACTTTTTTTTTTTCTTTGCTTTCCATTGAGCTATTTCATAAGTTCCTATAAGCTCTATGAATGAACTATCAGCATACATAAAAATCTTATTCAAGTCTTTTTTTTTTTTGTGACAGGTGGTCAACATAGTCACCAGTAATCAGGAATGTGTAAATAACATTGCAGAAGCTATGGTACTGTCCAGTCTGTTATCACTTTTGCATTCTTTACCAACAAGTAAGTACTGCTGTGACATCTATAGCATTTAGAAGACTGGTAGACTTCAAACTAAAGAGAATTATTTATAGACGTGCTCCTTTGCGAATTTCTAAAGTGCATTTATTTGGAAAATCTACCAGGTCAGAAAATATTCTCTAAAGGTGCCCATACACCTGCCGACTATCATACGATAATCGTGGGAAATCCCACTATTATACGATAATCGGCAGGTGTATGAAAGACGTGCGACCGTTTCTACTGTACGGTCGCACGTCTTTTGTCTTACGAGCAGGCTTGTGGCCTGATTGTAAGACAAATGACGCACGGGCCGGTGTGCGCAAGCGCACACTGCCCGTTCAGCATTGCAGTCATCGCAAGTACGATCTGCCTGTCCAAGATGGGCAGATCGTACGTTTTTTTAATTACCTTGCAACCATCGCACAACGAAAGTCTTGTGATGGTTGTAAGGTGTATGGGCACCTTAACACTGACCAGCATGTGTCTTTCAGTGAGGCGATGGTGCCTACCATTGCCACACTTTAACCACACATTTGCTGAATACGTTTCATTTTGCCAGTCTGAAATTGAAAAGCGTTGTATTTTACAATGCAGTGTTTTTATTTGGGGACCCACTGTTAATTGAGTTAATCCTGTGTTAATTTAAATATTTCCTTTTATTGTTTTACTTTTTAAAAAAGTACGCTAGAGACCCAGAGTAGGGCAAGTTAGACATCACTGGTTACATTATTAACATAGAACATTTATTTTAATGTTTGTGAAGATTTATATTTTTTCAGGTCATGGTATATCTCGTAGTAATTAGTCATATTCAGTTGGACTTGTTCTGTAATAGTAAGGATTTTTTGCAGCTTATCCAAGCCACTTCTTCAGCGCTGATGCTTGTCAGGAACATAAAAGACTATTTATAATCGCACAGGTAACTCAGCCACATTTATTCAATCACCACGGAATATGTCAAGGCAGATGTTGATTGACCAGGAACAGGATGGTAGGCATAAAAATATGTGGAACTTTGGCTTGGATAAGCTGAGGAACATTTTCAACATTACAGAACAAGTCCAATTGAATATGACTAATTACTACTCAATATAGCATGACATGGAAAAATCAAAAGTCAAGTTAAATATGACTACCACTAGATATGTTAATTTTAATATGTTGAATATGATTTCCTAGCTTTGGATGGGGAATCCTATATTAAGAAATGACTCAAGTCAATGCTAAAGGGGACATGTTTTTTTTTTTTTCATGTTTTAATACAAAACAAACAAGTAAATACACTATATTGCCAAAAGTATTGGGACGCCTGCCTTTACACGCACATGAACTTTAATGGCATCCCAGTCTTAGGCCGTAGGGTTCAATATTGAGTTGGCCCACCCTTTGCAGCTATAAAAGCTACAACTCTTCTGGGAAGGCGTCCACAAGGATTAGGAGTTTCTCTATGGCATTGTTTGACCATTCTTCCAGAAGCGCATTTGTGAGGTCAGGTACTGATGTTGGACGTGGAAGGCATGGCTCGCAGACTGCGCTCTAATTCATCCCAAAGGTGTTCTATGGGGTTGAGCTCAGGACTCTGTGCATGCCAATCCAGTTGCTCCACCCCAAACTCGCTCATCCATGTCTTTATGGGCCTTGCTTTGTGCAGTCATGCTGGAACAGGAAGGGGCCATCCCCAAACTGTTCCCACAAAGTTGGGACCATGAAATTGTCCAATTCAGCATGCGCTGGCCCCGCTCTGTCATTTTACATGGCCTACCACTTTGTGGCTGAGTTGCTATTGTTCCCAGTTGCTTCCACTTTGTTATAATAACACTAACAATTGACCGTGGAATATTTAGTAGCACGGAAATTTCACGGATGGACTTATTGCACAGGTGGCAACCTATCACGGTACCACGCTTGAATTCACTGAGCTCCTGACAGCGACCCATTCTTTCACAAATGTTTGTAGAAGCGTCTGCATGCCTAGGTGCTTGATTTGATATACCTGTGGCCATGGAGGTGATTGGAACACCTGAATCCAATGATTTGGAGGGTTGTCCCAATACTTTTGGCAATATAGTGTATCTTAGCCATCCATGTGATGATTTTATGTAAAAACACAGGATCAGCTTTTTGGACAGTGTCACCCATTTACTGGAATATTTAAAAGCAAAAAGCCCTACTGCAGCTTCAACATTTTACTAGGTAAATCTCACACAGCACATTCACAATGTAATAAATATACTATATATCAGTTCCTATCTTTAAAAACTGTGTACCTTGATTGAAAAGGGACAACTAGTGGTAGACTAGGACAGAGCAATTGTGACTATATTGATGTTTACGTAGGATGTTTGAGTGACTTGTTTTTATTTTTTAGGTCGACAGCTTGTCCTTGCAACTCTGTATGCCTTAACGTCCAGCACAAAAATCATAAAAGAGGCTATGGCCAAAGGTATGTGGTGCGATACTTTCTGCATAGCTGTCAATAGTCCATAGTGTCCAGGTTTTGAAGATGTGTTCCTGAAATGTAACTAATTTCGAAAGCATACCATAAAATCCTTTTTTTTTTTTTTTTTTCCACACTATAACGCATGTCAATCGATCAATGTTTTATTTGCTATTTTGATTAACTACTTACTGAATTTGATTAGGTATTAAAAAAAAGTGATATTGTGATCTTTGCTTTAAGGCTCATGCAAACAGACATAATGAAATTCTGCTAAAATCTGCTGAAATAATGCTACTGCCTATGTATCAGAATTCTTCAGCGCTGTGTCCCTCAATGGATAATAGAGAAAATAGGATCTTGTTCTTACCGTAAAACCCTTTTCTCGAAGTCGATTGCGGGACCCGGGTATTCCGCATAAACATCATGTACATACGTGGATATGTGTATATGCAAATTACTGACCTTAGATGCAGATTTATTTTTTCTAATTTTACAGATCTGAATGCAGCGCTAGTTTACTGATCTTGAAGTTTACGCACTGTGTTCGTGGGCCTATTGAAAGCAATAGAACTGCATTCAGATGCATAAAAATGAAAACTCTGTACTGGTTAAAGGAGAATTATGAGGCGAGTGATTTTCACTCAGCCTTATAATCTGAGCCGACCTGTGACAATGAAACTGTCACAGGTCGGCTCAGTAGATAGGGAAGTGAGCGATCACATACTGTCGCTCGCTCACTTCTCGATCGATCTGTGCAGAGAGCCGTGACTGTTACTCGCGCAGCTGGGTGGACCCAGACAGAATTGTCGGGATCCGTTTCGGCTGCGGCGTCTCAGTATACTGAGCTTTGGGTGACGGGAGGACGCTAGTTTGTGTCCTCCCGTTACCCTTAGGAGAACTATGGGGTAAAGCCCTAACCCCATAGTTCTCTAAGTGCATTGGTTTTTACCATGTTTTCAGTGGGCTGGTCACTAGTTACAAGCCTGCCTAAGAGTAATTGTGCAAAATGAAAACACTGAAAAATATGTAATCTATGCCAGTTTTGAGAGACTGAAATGTATTGTTCTTTTTAATGTTTATTGGGAAACAGTCTGATGGACGTGATATATACCCTGCCTATAAAAGGCGGGACACAAAGGTACTTTTATTTATGATCTTTTATGTTGACTGTTAAGAGACTTTTTTGAAGCCTAAAGGGACCCAAACTTAGAAAAAAATAGTACAGAACTATCTGGAAATTTCAGTCGGACATATGAGATCTAGAAAATCTGTGGTCATTTGTATACCATTCTCTTCCCTTTTTATTACAAACAACATTTATAAACTGCATTGTGTATGGGAACCATTAGAATGCCACCTGAACTCCACCAATGCATAATATTAAATATATAAATTATACATTTGAAAAGTGCTTGCTTTTATATGAACTAACCAGTGTTGGGGCTTAATAAAATGTTTGTTTTAACAGGAGCTTTAATCTACTTGTTGGATATGTTTTGTAATTCAACTCACCCACAAGTACGAACGCAGACAGCAGAGTTATTTGCCAAAATGATAACTGATAAACTTGTTGGTCCTAAGGTGAGTAATTCTATTGCTCTGTTTAAAAGCAGGGATTTGTAGTCCATACATATAAATGCCTACAAATACTGTGTCATATTTTCTTAAATATGGTTCTTATGTATGCTATAAGAGCAGCTATAGTGTTACACTTGATGCTGTGCAAGAAAGAGAGGAGGTTGGCAAAAATGTGGAGTTGACCTCTGATGCTATGTTGATGTCACAGTTAGATCACTTGTACTGGTATATAAAAGTCTTTGGACTGAGGCAAACAATTTAGGAAGGACATAGAGCTATAGCAATACCAACATATGAGCATGACTTGCAAATGTACACAGAGTTAGCGAGGACATAAACGGATAGTTTATAGTTGGCTGCGCTTATCATTTGCTTCCTATTCAGTATTGCTCCTCTGGTGGACCCGTGACCATGGCACAGGAGCTCACCTTAGAGCCCGTAGAGTAGTGATGGGCTCGGGCGTGTTCGCAACTCCACGTGCTGAGCCCGCCAGGAAGCTGACAGCGTGCAGCGCCAATCACAGGTACTGAGACATTTTCCCGGTCTGCAGCTATATATATATGTATATATGTATATACATACATACACACCCTCCCATGCCCCGAAGCTCAGTATATAGTGCCGCAGCTGGGGTGGATCCCGACAATACTGTCGAGATCCACCCAGCTGGCTGATTGACAGTGGGCTCTGCCTATCTAGAGGCAGAGCCAGCTGTGCCCGTCCCTGTGGGGAGCGGTCACTGACAGTCCCTGCAGAGAGATGATCGGGAAGTGAGCGAGCGAAGGGTATGTGTTCGCTCACTTCCCAATCAATAGAGCCGATGTGTGATAGTTTCAATGTCACACGTTGGCTCTAACTATGCGGGATGAGTGTAAATCACTCACCTCATAGTTCTCCATTTTGATCTGTGTGGAAACTGTCCATTTGATTCTGAAATGCTTGGCACAGGATTTTTAGAATGGGGCATTTTTTATGACTACTTCTCTCCCTTCAATCATATAGTAAAATTGTACAGTTTTCTGAACTTTAGTGTATTACATCTTCGTGTCTGTTTTTGTAGGTCAGAATTGCTTTGATGAAGTTCTTACCTGGAGTATTTATGGATGCTATGAGGGATAACCCTGAAGCTTCTGTACATATATTTGAAGGAACCCATGAAAACCCAGAGCTAATTTGGAATGATAATTCCAGAGAAAAAGTATCCACCACAGTTCGAGAAATGATGCTAGAGTAAGTGGGAATTGGGGAAATACTACTTAGGTGTGTTTTATATGGTGCATGTGATCATACACTGCATACAATAGAGGAAGACCTCCAATCTAGAGAGAAACATTTCTATAATCTCTGATGGATATCCTTAAAAATAACCTTTTATCAATCTTGGGGTTAGTTTCTTGAGCTGAAATGGCTGTTATTGTGAAAATCAACTTTCATGCTAGGCCAGACAGAATGATTTGTCTGCCCCGCCATGCCTTAAAGACTAACTCCACTTTTGTTAAGAAAAAAAAATATTCCTCTCTGGGTGATCTGTCTACATTAGAAGGATTATTAACTAACTTTGTTGTAGATTTCCATCTGTTTCTGTTCTGAAGAAAAAGCTGTTGCATGTCCTTTTCAGACTAATTCCTGAATAGTAGGGTCTGGGTTCATTATAATCAGCTGGTGGACTTTCTCTGTTGTAATAAGAAGAGGTGCAGGGTCTACATCCCTTTTAGTAGTAATTAACTCTTAGGGAGTATCTCACCAAAAATGAAATTCCTATTGCAAGGATGCCAAAAATGATACTTGTATTTCAGTGCAGACTTCTGGGAAACTCAGTCAGCCAATGACAGAAGCAGGAAGTTATATTTCGGGGGCCAACTGTGTACAAAATGCCTCCAGGTCGCCATATTGCATTAAACATGCAGTTTTGGGTGCCGGGCGCGTCATGTTTTTATACATTTAGCCCTGCATCGGGCAAGCAGGGCAAAATGTACAACGGGAGCCGATGTACATTTTAGATACGTGATCTGATGAGATCACTTGTACCAGCCTCTCTGTCCCCTCCCTTGGTTTTTGATATCCCCCGCTCTACTGGGGGACACGGGACCACGGCAAATGAGCTCAGGATGCGGAGCAGAGCTAAGAATGTCCGTTCTCCGCTCTGCTCTCTGTGATCAGTGAGACTGGAGCATTGTAATCGCAGCGCCAACTGTCAGAAACTGCACAGATCTGTTCTGTGTTGGAGGGCAGGTTCCATAGAGAGAACCTGTCACCTCCAAACTATCACATAGAGGGTTGTGTGATGGGAATAAAATGACATTAAAAAAATAAATAAAGTGAAAAAGTAGAAAAATAATAAAATAAATAAAAAAAGTTGTAAAAAATATATAAAAACCTTAAATAAGTGGTAAATAGTAAAACAATAAATAGTTAATAAAAAATAAGTGATTAAAAAAAATAATTAAAACCAACCCTGCCACCATTTGCACGCAAATAAACGCAAACCCCTGATGGAGGAATCTGCTGGATTATTGTATTAATAGTAGCTTTTATGCAGTTGCGTTAGTTTTTGTTTTATATGGTCTGTAATGTCCAGTTATGGCTTAGTGGAGTTCTGCTTTACCTTGTTTTACTGCATAGTGAATATCTGACCCAGAACACATTTACAGGCTAAAAGTTCCAGTTTCAGAAGGTAGGATTTTAATTCAAAACTGCTTCACTCTGCTACAGCTACATTTCCTACATATCAGCTTTGTAGTTGATAAAAGAAAATCTATGACTAGAAAAGCTGTGCTGCTTAGTGACAGGCGTGTGACTTATCTAGTTCAGCAGACAGGCTGCAGAATGTTTGCTTCAGCTCTGGAGCTCAGCTGCATTTTAGTTTCTGCTTCAATCCATTCCAAGAACTTATCTAATGAAGAGAAAAGCTGCGTTTCGGTATCAGGCCTTAAATCTAGTTAAGCTGCAGAGCACTGCAAACTTTAGCATTATCAATATAAAAAATTCATGTGATTTTCCCATTGGCAGCAATGTGTTAGTTAGATTATCTTTTTTAGACTGTTGACTGGGCTTGATTTAAAGTGACACCAAACTCAGGCGTTAAATCCGGAAAATACATTCAAGTGACTTAACTATTAACAGAAATGTATCTTATTTGTATATCACTCAGCTGTAGATCCTCAAATCATCTCTGAATTGGTGCTGACACTGTACTTCATTGTTCCCCATGGTCCCTGTGTTTGTTGTTAAGTAGTAATGGACTATAATATCACATTTACTAATTTGTAGTGAAATTATAGCCCGTCATGGGAGTAAGCTTGATGGCTACTTTACAACACACACAGAGGGAACAAAAGTAGTCACCCTCCAGAAGGAAGGACAGTGTCCGCACCAATTCAGAGATGATTTGAAGATCTACAACTGAGTGATATACAAATTAGATACATTTTTGTTAATTGTTAAGGTACTTGAATATATCTTTAAGATTTAGCTCCTGAGTTTGGTGTCACCTTAAATAATAAATACAAACCTCATTACTTTATTTTCCCATTTTTTTTTTAGGCACTTTAAGCAACAAGTAGAAAATCCTGATGCAAACTGGAAGGTGAGTAATTTTCAGCTAGCTTCAGGATCTCCCAATCTTGGTAATTGTCATGTTTGCACAATTACACTTTAAAGGAATAAAACTTTACTTTTTCAGCTAAAGCATTATCGGTCTTAAGGTGAAAGGAGCTGCCACAGAACAGAAGTTTGCAGTTTATTGACTTCAGTCTTGGTGGCTCTTAGATGCCTTGGCAGAAATACTAACTTGAGAAAGAGAGATATTTGCATAAGGAAGAGAACTGCCTATAGGCATAGAAGAGGTACTCTTCTATTTTCTGGGATAATGAAGCAAGGCATCTGATTGGTGGCTATGAGCAAGTTCTCGATGATTGTGGAAAATATCCTGTTCTCAAGCTGGGCTCAAAATTTCCACTTGCCCCCTCGCAATTGGCGAGTGGAAATTAATTCAATGAGTCAGGCACTCGGTCAAGGCTTCGGTGCACGACTCCGGGAGGAGTTTGAGGCGGCTTCCCATTTGCCATAGCTCACCTTCGTGTGCCTTGGTCATGCTAAAGATGGTCGCCGCGTTATGAACCCGGTAATGTGGCCATCTTTAACAGGGAAATGCACACGAGAAGTCAAGAGGAAGACTAACCTTGCGCTAGAGGGGTCCTACTTATGCAGTGGGCCTGGCTTAAGTTCAAGTGCCCGGCCCCTGCCAGCATGTAATTAGATGGGGGGCATAGAGATGGGTCTGGGTGCCCTGTGTGTGTTTGTTAGGCCCTGTGTATTGTGCTGTCTGTGTATGTGTAATGCTGTGTGTGTATTGTGCTGTATGTGTAATGTGTGTATTGTACTGTATGTGTGTAATGCTGTGTGTGTTGTGCTAAGTTTATAATGCCCAGTGCACTGTGTGTTGTGCTGAGTGTTTGTGCTATGCTCTGTGTGCTGTGCAGTGTGTATTATGCCCTGTAGTTTGTGCTGTGTGTTTTGATATGTCGTGTGTTGTGCTGTGTGTGTATGTTATGGAGCGAATTACAGCTGAGTTGATGGAGCCCTGTACTTAAGTATAGGGCTCAATCAATTTGGGTGGAATTTACACCATATTGAGTGTGAGGAGGGCTTACTTGTCTGGTGGGTTTATTTGTATCTCTTTTTTTAAATGGTGGAATTAAAGGAAGGAGAGGGTGATGTTAAAGTAGGCGAGGCGGGCAGGATAGGATGGGGTTGGGTTCAGACAGGGCAACTGGTGGCGAGTAACTTTTAAGGCCTGGCTAGTAGCTCAGGACCTGAAATTTTGAGCCCTGCCTCAAGTATTTATTAATAGAGTTAAAATGAAATAAATTGGAAGTAGGAAGAATTGAAGCATTAGTAGAAATGCACTGCTGGAACTGAAGATTGATAGAAGGGAGGGCAGAAAGTGTACCGTTTAAGTTAGTAACTTGTGCATCTCTTAACCCTCTCAGCTGAGTGCAAACCCCAGTTCATGTGGCTTTAGAAGCATTAGTCTCCACTGCCGTCCCTCTTTGTACAGTGTTTTATCCACTGGTGTGATTGGAGGCACATAGAGCAATGTAAGTTACACGATAAGATTATATTTTTTTCTCTAAACCCTGCTTCACGACATACAAAATTCAAAGTGATTTTGGGCCCATTAGTCTTTACCTCTGCCCGTATACACTATTTCATTCACACAGTGATTGGGGGCAGATAGAGCAATGTAATTTACAAGTTGCATTTATACTGTCCATACCCCTGCTTCATAATATACGCAAGTCCAAGTGACTTTAGGTGCATCAGTCTTCACGACCATTGCTCCATAGACAGTATTTCACCCATAGTAGTATTTGGCGGAGTAGTGGGTTTGGAGCACATATACGGTATTGTAGTTGGCAAACTACAATTACAATGTCTTCACACCACTCCTTAATCATTGCTCTAAATGAGGAATATTTCATGTTTCTCTCGTTCAGCTTATGACATTTCTAACTCACTTTTTCAATTTTGTTTTAGTTACCGGATGATTTTTGTATTGCATTCGGAGAGGCAAATGGAGAACTGTCAGTTGGTGGCGTTTTCTTGCGAATATTCATTGCACAGCCTGCTTGGGTGCTGCGGAAGCCAAGAGAATTCCTTGTGGCGCTTTTGGAAAAGTTTACTGAATTACTAGAGAAAAATAATGCTCATGTAAGATTCTGTAACACCTTTAAACGACTTTTAAACCTTACCCAATACAACGGTTAGAAAAATACCATTCTTGTACAGTAATACATTCAGTAGTCACAGATTGTTCTGCGCAGCATTAAAGAGGTACTTGGATTGCAGAAAATACACATTTCTAAGAAGTCCAACTGTAACTAAGGCATGCTTGCATCCTACACATAAGACTTTATTTGGAAGACTATAGGAAGGAAAACCACAAAATACACGTGCCAAAAGATTTGTAATTCTGTGTAACCATCCTTGTGATTCCCACCACTCTACCGTACTGAATATCCACAATTTTGACACTTATTTTGTTTTTTTAACTTTCCATCTTCCTGTCTCACCTTCCCGTTCCGAACAATGAATTGCCATAATCTCTTTGCTGTTCTAACTGTTCTTCTTGGCAAACCGGAATCAGTGAAGTTGATTTTATAAATATATTATAAATATATGTGCAAATCATATGAATGGCTGAGCATAATTTATAATTTTTTTGGCTGATAAAACAGTGTTGGTGAGTTGGGAGTTGAAGCCTTTATAACGTGTACATTTTTAGCTCTCTCAGCATGCGGAACAAAAAAAATCTATTTAGAGGTTTTATGATCTCATATTTTGCAGCCTTTGTACAGATTATCATTACACCAGTAATCATAAACAATAGCAAGGAAACAGCATTAAAATCAAACTGCTCAACTCTGTAATTCTGCCCCTCTTCTGTGTAAATGTTAAACTCATTGAGATAAGATATTGCACTTGTATATAAAAATATATTATATAAATCAGCCTTTTATAAAATGTCTTTATTTTGGTATTCTTCACATGAAATGTATAAAATATGCTCCTGTAGTGACACATCTAAAGGCATTGTAATTATTATTACTCTTTAGGGAGAAACGTTAGAAACCGTGACCACTGCAACAGTTTGTTTATTTAGTGCACAACCTCAGTTACTGGACCAAGTCCCACCTTTAGGTCACCTACCCAAGATACTCAATGCAATGAGCCACAAGAATAATGCTGTTCCAAAGTGTGCAATACGGGTCATCCACACAATGACAGATAACGAGGTAATGCTATGCTCATTCTTTAAATACTTTACTGTATATTGATTATTATAATGCGATTTAATGGATTGGGATTTATTCTTTCTAGCTTTGTGTTCGATCGATGGCTTCGCTTGAGACAATTGGACCTCTGATGTGTGGAATGAAGAAACGTTCAGACATGATAGGATTGGCATGTGAAGCACTTAACAGGATGTTCCAAAGGGAGCAAACCGAGCTTGTAGCGCAAGTAAGAAGTTCTGTCATTTGAAAAAGTATATCAAGGTTTCTTTTCTGACTATGGTGTCCCACTCCCTTCAGTTCCCTATTGATCAGGTGTTTGTTAAAAAATCAGCTCTAGGGCTGTTAGTTTGTCCAAGATTGTTTGGTCCAAATCAACTAGTACCTAACAAACAAATAATTATGTAGTTAGGCACTAAGTCCCCTCTGACAATTTTCCTTGTCCTCTTGGCTGAGTAAACTTTATTTATGATAAATTCTCTTTTTTTATCATGAAAGAAAAGACATCTTATGTTTGATGTCTAATGTTATATCAGATCATTTGAGATTTGTCATCAAGGTTAAAGCTGAAATACAGGTAGATTTAACCAGTCATGTCTTTAGAAATATTATATGTATTTTTACATAGAGCTAGGAAACGTACCTGGATTTCTCTTAATATAAGTTTCCTTTATTATTCTGCTAACACCTTAGGAGAATGTGAGAGTGGCAGCACTAAGAGCCTGTTAAGTTCTGCACTGACAGGGCTCATGCCAGCTGAAGAAAAGAACAGAGAGATGATCACACCAGTGTGCTTCTGTTCCTTCCTCCATTCTCCATCCATAAACTGGGGCAGGTGTTAGACAAGTCTGTATTGCTCCGCTGCATTGTAATCTTCAGAGAGGACTACACACTCTCACATTGCTTTGTAGTTCAACATCACTGAGTTACTATGTAGTAAAGCCAGGATCAGATAATGGCCTTGAAGAACACACCTTTAAAAACCAAATCATCAATGGCATGTTCCGCAGCTCTATCAGCACAGGTTTTATATATCGTACTGTATATTATGTCAGAGCAGCCATGTATTGTCTAACATTTTATCTACTTATTAAAAACTTACAAATTCATTCATGATATGGAACAGAGTTCTCTGCATACTTTTCACAAAGGTGCAAATGCTATCTTCTAGGCACTGAAAGTGGAACTGGTTCCATATTTGCTAAGATTACTTGAAGGACAAGGGCTGGAAAACCTTGAAAGACCAGCATCCACGAAAGCTCAGATAGTTAAAGCTCTGAAGTCAATGACTCGCAGCCTGCAGTATGGAGAACAGGTGAGTGTCATAGCAGAGAGACTACAGATGAATCCTTAATATTTGACTGATCACTAGCAAGTAAAAATGTTATGCTATTACTCCTAATGAATGCAATTCACTTGCCCTTTGTAGGTGAATGAAATCCTTGCTCGATCCACTGTCTGGAGTGCCTTTAAAGATCAGAAACATGACTTGTTCATTTCTGAATCACAAACAGCAGGATACCTCACTGGTAAGTGGATTTGTTGCAAACATTTAGTATAGTGAATTAGAATGGACGTTTACACGGATGGCAAATTTGCATATCATTAAACTACTTTTTAGTTTTTGGATGTTATAAAATGTGCTGTTATGGCCTACAGACCAGCTAGGTTATTAGTTACAGATTGTATGAGGGTGACCTGAGTCATAATGTACACTCTCAGGATGAGTAAAGTAGAAGCTCAAGCAGCCTTAGCTTTGGCTTCTTGAAACTAAGATCCTTGTGCAGTCAATTGTGAGAGGGTGTAAGTTTTAAGGTTTGTATTAAACATGACAAGTTACATAACCAGTGTCAAGTTGTCCCACCAAAGTGGAGAATGTGCGTTCAACTCCAGCATGCTGACTGTGCCTGAAAGTTGCTCCCCCAAAGCCCCTTTGACACACACAGATGTAATGGGTACCTTGAGACTACAGAGTAGCAGTTTTGGTGGGGGGTTTTTTAGGATTAAGTGAAGTATTAACATCTGTTACAGCCTTTTGTTGTTGGACCCCAGGGTAGGTAAAAAGTAGGTTTAAACTGAGTCCATAGGGGTTGCTATTAAATAAAAAAAATAAAAATACCTGCTTTGAAAACTTAAAGGAGAACTATGGGGTCAGTGTTTTCCCATTAGTTCTTCTAAGGGTCACAGGAGGACATATACTAGAGTCCTCCCGTGACCCAAAGCTCAGTATATCGCGAGCTGTCGAGATCCGCCCAGCTGCGTGAGTGACAGCTGGCTCTGCCTATCTAGAGGCAGAGCCAGCTGTACCCGCCCCTTCCCAGTCTGTTCCGCCAGTCACCGCTGGAGGATCGGAGCAGGGAGGGGGGAATCCCTGCGGGGAGCCGTGAGTGACCGTCACGGCTCTCTACAGGGAGATGATCGAGAAGTGAGTGAGTGACGGTATGTGTTCGCTCAATTCCCGATCTATTGAGCCGACATGTGACAGTTTCATTGTCACACGTCGGCTCGAACTATGAGGTTGAGTGAAAATCACTCACCTCATAGTTCTCCTTTTTAATACAGTAAACTCCCCATTATCCAGCATTCAAAAAAACATAATATTGCTGATGGTTTGATGCACACTAAAAAATTTAGTTGCCAACGAAATTCTTTGATTACATCTTGCTTTCAGCCAGCGGCTTGATTCTGCAGTCGGCCATTTCAAATTGCAATAGCAGGCTGGCTATTATATCCACCAACTAAGCAGAGGAGCGGACCTGAAACAGAACTTTCTCTCTGTGTCCGCTCCTTTACTCAGTCGGTGGGATTTTAATAGCCAGCCTGCTATTGGCTATTGCTCCCGGCTGCTTACATTCACCTGTCGGCTGCAGGCAGGAAGCTACTAGTAACTCAAGCAAACAGAAACTACAGTTATCCGACACCTACCGATATCCTTGGGTGCCGGATAACTGGGAGTTTACTGTACTTACCTGCCCTGCTGCCCACACCGCTGAAGTCCACTGCCTTGCAGAGATAATCTAGCTGGAGAATGTTAGGCATTCAGCACTTCAATGAGTGATTTCCTCTGCCAACCCCCTACATCACTGCAGGACACAGTACTGTCATAGGGGTTAGCGGAAAAAAACCAGAGAGCACAATGGTGTAACTGGTATCTGACAGAGGAGTTTGGCGCAGCGTGACAGATAAGCAATAATATATATATTATTAGCAGGGCGGCCGCATCCGCGCCAGACGTCGCTTGTGCGGCGGCCGCTACTCGATACCCCGGCTTTTGCGGCCTCCAGGCGGCTCCGCGGCCGCCATCTTGCATATGGGCAACTTTGCCCTTTCGTTACGTCACTTCCGCCCGGGCTTCCTATAGCCTCGGGCGGATGGGGAGGGCATTCCTTTCGGCTCGTGGACGCCATGGATGGAGGTCACAGCGGCAGAGATTCTCTCTGGGCCGGGACAAACGCAGGGGGTCGTGAGTTGCTGGGGGTCCCTCTCCCTTGTTTGGTGGTCTCTGGTCTGTGGGGTAGTTGTTTTGCTGCGGGTGTGCAATGGATCGCAGGGATGACACTCCTGCATTGCCTTGTGAGGGTTGTGGGCTGCGCTCTGCGGACCCCTCTTGATCCCCTCTTTGTGCGGCCTGTACGCCTGGGCTGCTTTGCCTCTCGCCCGTGCGCCCCTCTGGTGCTTCAGGGGGGGGTGGGTGGTACCGCGGGTACCTCATTGTCCCTGGAAGTTTTTTCTTCTGTCATGGCTGGGTACGTGACACGCATGCAGCGCGCCTTGACGCAGCGCCCTCCTAGGAAGCGGGCCCTGCCTTTTGCCGTCCCCTGCCTTGTCAGGGGAGTCCGAAGAGGAGGGGGAACTGCCCGCGCCATCACCTCATCCTGGTCCGGGTGATTCCTCACATCCTGATTCTGCCAGTGAGGATGAGGCTGCGTCTACGCTCCTGGTCCAGGAACGTGAGACGGTTTCAGCGCTGGTCCGCGCTGTCAGGGAGTCCCTAAAAATTGAGGATGTTGCCAGCACTTCCACGCTGCCGCATGTGCAGTTTGGGACGCATAAGAGCAGGCGTTCCGCCAAGGTGTTTCCTTACATCTCCTTTTTTGATAAATTCATTTATAAGGAGTGGAAACGGCCTTCCAAGTCCTTTGGGCTGTGACGCTTTTGCAGTCCCTGTACTCTGTCTCGGGCGCTCTCATGCGTCCGGTCTTGGCTTCAACCTTGGTCTCTCATACTCGGAGTGGGCTAAAATGTTACATCAGGGTCTTGCGGAGGAGAACGTCTCCCCCGCCTTTGTGGAATTGACGGACCAGTTGGTTCAGGCTTTCGTTATGTCTGTAATTCGGCCTTGGATGCGGCGCCCTTGGTGTCCAGGGTGTCGGTGTCAGCGTTGACGCTTCGCCGTTTGCTCTGGCTTAAGTGCTGGTCGGCGGACCAGACTTCCAAGGAGGCTCTTCAAGATTTGCCCTTTACTGGGGACCGTCTGTTTGGTTCCACCTTGGATGAGATCATTAAGGATCTGACGGGGGGTAAGAGTACCTTCCTTCCCCCGGCGCACAAGACGGGACAGCGCCGGGAGCCTGGGTCTACCTTCTCTGCTCACAAGCGGCTTTTTCGCCCGGATCTTTGCGGATTTCTGGCTGGCACACGTCCCCGACTCTTGGGTCCGGGAGCTGGTTTCTTCGGGCTACGAGCTCGAGTTTCTGTCCCGTCCGGGCAACCGTTTCTTCCCGTCCAACACGCGGCTGTCCCCTTCGCGGCTGGCGGATCTCCGGCGCGCGGTGGTGGACCTTTGGTCCCAGGGGGTGATTGTTCCTGTTCCCTCCGCGGAAAGATTCCTAGGGTTTTATTCAAACCTGTTTACTGTGCCCAAGACAGAGGGGGTAAGGGGGTAATCCTGGACCTCAAAAGCTTGAACACCTTCGTGCGGGTCCGTCGGTTCCGGATGGAATCCATCCGGTCCGTGGTGGCATGGCTCCGTCAGGGGGATCTGCTGGCCTCCATCGATATCCGGGATGCATACCTTGATGCACCCATTTGCGAGTCTTATCGGCGATATCTTCGTTTCGCGGTGGGGGTGGACCACTTTCAGTTTGTGGCGCTGCCCTTCGGGCTGGCGTCGGCCCCACGTGTGTTCACCAAGGTGCTAGCCCCGATTCTGGCGCTGTTGCGTTGTCGGGGGGTTTCGATCGTGGGGTACCTGGTCGATCTGCTCCTACGGGCAGAGTCGCATTCTTCCATGGTGACAGCTCTGGGGGTCACGGTGCGGTCCTTGGAGGAGTTCGGGTGGCTTCTGAACCTGCAAAAATCTTGCCTGGTGCCTTCACCACGCCTGGAGTATCTGGGTTTGGTTCTGGACACTGTCGCGGCCCGGGTCTTTCTTCCCCGGGACAAGCTCCTGAAGCTCCGTTCCAAGGTTTTCGGCTTCTGCGGACTCGCCAGTGGTCGCCCATTCGGGTTGCATGCAGGTCCTGGGTCTCATGGTGGCCTCCTTCGAGGCGGTGCCTTTTGCGCAACACCATACCAGGACCCTGCAGAGGAACATCCTGGTACAGTGGGACAAGTCCCCCCTGTCATTGGACAGGGAGATTCAGATCTCTCGGGAGGCGAGAGCCTCCCTGCGCTTCCGGTGCATTGGACGGTGGTCACCACAGACGCCAGCCTTTGGGGCTGGGGCGCGGGGTCTTGGGCTCCTTGACTATGAACGGAGAGAAAAGGATTTTACGGTGAGTACAAAAATCCTATTTTTTTATATAGGAATGTCTTTTCTTTTTTTTTTTAACACAAAGTGCATTTCACATAAACGGAGTTGTTTTCATTGAAACTTGTAGTGTTAAAGTATAGAGACTGTCATTGTTTACCACTCCTTCTAAAAATGCTAGTTCTCTAGCTGCAATGCTGTTTCAGTGGCTTCAGAACTTTTTAAGTTACTGTCATGGACTGAGCTTCAAAATAGAAGTTCTGACTAACTTTGACTTGAAACCTGAGGTAACCAGCATTTTTAAGAGGAGGTCAGCAATAACAGTTTCTATGTTTCTCAAAATAGAGGTTTTCTATACCAAAGAAAAAAGGTGACAGGAGTTAAGCAGACTGAAGTGTATGCTTACTACCCTTTCTCCATAGATGCGGTGGAGTGGACCTTCACTGCCTCTATCCTATGCATTAACATGAACTTCATCGGGAACTATTAGTAGGGATGCATTGATATATCGGCCGCCGAAACATATCGGCCCGAAAATTGCACTTTTGGCATAATGCCCGAAAGTGCCATTTTCCTGCCGATACATCGGCGCATCCCTGCTTTCTTTCCTGCCCGCTGGGCGCTGCTCTGTGTCCCATTGGGGAGGATAGAAACTGACAGCCAGCCGAGCGCTGCGGGAGGAGAGTGCTGTAAGCGGCCAGTGTCTCTCCTCCCACACCGCTCAGCCTCCTATCACAGTCCGGCAGAGCGGTGTGTGGGCGGAGACGGGCCGCGCTGTCACAGGAGGCTGAGTTCTCCTCCATTCACAGCTCGCTCAGCCTCCTGTGACAGCGTTTC